AGTCAGTTTAAACCACAAGGTTCATATGGTTTGCAAAAAAATTTGTCCCATTCTGTTGGTTGTCTTTTCATTTTCTTGATGGTTTCCTTTTAAGTGTATACATTTATAATTTTTATTAAATGAAATTTATCTATTTGCTTTTCCCTTTGGTTAATTGTATTTTCATGTCATATCTAGGAAACTATTAACTAATCCAGCATCACAAAGATTTTATCCCCCCTTTTTTAAGTTTTTATTGTGAATTGAGTAATAGTTTACATGCAAGAACGTCGTTTTTACACTCATTGTTTCATTGCAATGATTATAATCCCCTCTGTGCATCATCATTCAACAATATTTGCTTCTATTCCCTCTGGGGTTTTTTTGTTTTTGGAGGACGGGGGAGATGTACACCAAAATACTCAGGAATATATAATCATTTAAACCACCAAAGGGCACATTCTACAAGCCTGTCACCTGGCCGCCAGCAAACAGTCTTTCTCTTTCCATGAGTCTAGAGCCCTCAGATGCTCTATCTCTCCATGTCCTCATCTCTGCCTCCATCTCTGGTGTCACTGCTTCTCTAGATAGGGTTCCACATTCCACTCATGCTCTTCTCCCTTGATGGTCCTTAGGGGTCCTTTGTTCCTGGAATGTAAGATTAACTACTGTCCCCTTTTTGTTACAAAACTTCTACCTTTACAGTTGTGACAATCACAATTAGTCATGATAACAACTACTCACTATTGAAACATAAGAATCTTATCCCCATCTACTTTCACTAGACCCATCTAGACAAGATAAAAACCGTTCAGTGGGGATTCTATCTTCCCCCGAACACTCTGAAACTATACTCCCTCTTGAAAACTTGAAAGCTAGTCACATTGTGCCTTTATAACGTCCTCCCTGCCCCCATTTTAGGTAGCTGATGTCTAAGTTGCCTGTCCCTATCTCCCTTGTGTACAGAAGGGATAGGATGAAGATTTCTTCCCTCTCCGTTGGTATTTTGAGCTACTACATCCATAAGTGTAAGTCAAGCTCATCAAATTGTAGCAAGTTACACTTGTTTCCTTTATCAGTTTTTTTTTTTTTAATCTTCTTTTAGTGGAGTTGTGATCTTCAAGCCATTGAAGCTAGGTCAAATGGGTACTATCTGCAAGTTTGGGCATTCTGGTGAGCCTCCCCTAACTTCATATCAGCTGTCAGCTCTAGCCCTCTGTGGCTGTCTTTATCCATACAGAGCCTCCCCTAACTTCATATCACTGTCAGCTCTAGCCCTCTGTGGCTGTCTTTATCCATGGGCTCAGGAGACCCCAGGTCTCACCATACAGATCAGCCCTTCCTCTTCTTTCTCTCATCTCCAGGTCGATGAGTAGATTTTATCCCTTTTAATTAAATTAAAGTTTTTGTTAATGTGAGAACATTTAGGTTGTTGATCCATTTTAAGTTTTTTTGTTTTGTTTTTTTAATTTTGTATGAGGTAGGAATCCAGCTTCATTCTTTTGTGCATGGATATTCAGTTGTCCTAACAAGTGTAGTGGTTACGAATCGGGCTGTGAACCACAAGGTCAGCAGTTCAAAATTACCAGCTGCTCTGCAGGAGAAAGATGAGGATTTCTGCTCCCATAAAGATTTACAACCTCAGAAACCCTGATCAGGGTCGCTTTGGGTTGGAACCGACTCGATGGCACTTAACAACAACAACAACAACATCATCATTTATTGGAGTCCTGGTGTGGTGCTGTGGGCTAATTCATCAGACTGCAAAAACTACAAGGTCAGCGGTTCAAACTCACCAGCCACTCCTTGGAAACCCTATACAGGGTCGCTATGGGTTGGAATCAACTTGACAGGACTTGACAACAACAACAACATCATTTATTGAAAACACTTCTCTTTTTCTTTTAAATTGATTTGGCTCTTCTAGCTATGACCTTGTTATTTCCATGAAAAGATTAGATATGAATGACTATGCAAATTAGGCCCATCAAAGAGAGTGGGCAGTTTTCTAATGCAAATAAAGTACATGGAATCTTTGCTGGAGTGGAACTATGTAAATAAGGTGTTTTTAAAGGACTTTTAAGGGACTGGTCAGTTTTGCCCTCTCACTAGGCTTAAAAACAGAGAGGCTGAAAAAGGACCTCAGTGCAGTGGTTACAAATTGGGCTGCGAACTTTAAGGTCAGTAGTTCGAAACTACCAGCTGTTCCACGGGAGAAAGATGAGGCTTTCTGCTCCCATAAAGATTTACAGCCTCAGAAACCCTGAACAGCAAGGTTAGTGGTTCTAACCCACCAGTCGCTCCTTAGAAATCTTACTCAGGGTCTGAGTCGGAACCAACTTGGTGGCACACAACGCCACCACCATCATTCCATAACGAGGAATCCTGGTGGCATAGAGGATTACACATTGGGTTATACAGTTTGAAGCCACCAGCCACTTCACAAGAGAAAGAGAATGCTTTCTGCACCCACAAAGATTCACAACCTCTGAAACCCTCCGTAGGGTCACTCTGAGTTGGAATCAACTCCCGAGCAGTAGGTGTGGTTTGATTCCACACCTGGCAAAAGCACAAAGCATGAAAACTCACGCTGCACTGGCCTGATTCTCACTGCTCCACCGTGAGGGTCTTTTGTTGGAGCCTGGCTGCCTGCCTCCCTGTGACTTCAGGGAGGAAAGCTGGCTACAAGAAGCCCAAGGGCAGCTTCTAACTTGCTTGTTTATGTACTACTGTGTGTTACTTCCCTGCACATTTTCCCTAGACACTGCCCATTCTATTCCTTACCTGATCAGTAACTGAAAAAGGTATAACCATACTGTTGTTGTTGTTGTTAAGTGCCATCGAGTCGGTTCCGACCCATAGCGACCCTGTACAGGGTTTCCGAGGGTGTAAATCTTTACGGGAGTAGAAAGCCTCATCTTTCTCCCGCGGAGCGGCTGGACGCTGACCTTAAGGTTCGCAGCCCGATTCGTAACCACTACGCTACCAGAGCTCCGTACTGTAGTGCCTTTAAAAAAAAAAAAAAATGTTATAAGGTGTAGATAGATGTCTTTGGGAGCTGAGCTGGGGGTTTTGCTATAATGATGAGCTGGAAAATGGTATCATGCCTCGTGCTGTGTCCTTGCCATAGAATCAGGCAGCAGAAATACTAACATCACGTCTGGGATCCTGGTGTTTCCAGGACTAAAAGTTAACAGCCACAACGTCATTAATGATCTTGCCTATGACCTTCTTACCAGTCAAACCTTTGGGGTCTCAAAACTATTCCTCAGTACCACCCATCATGACACATGTCCAGTGACTATGATTTGGCATTCAGAACGACCTGCATCTCATTTCATGACAAATGATCAAAGACAACAGACATGAGTGAGTCACAGAAAAACACAGGTAAAATACTCTGTTCACCAGTCACACACGATAATTTTTCTGGCCTTTGCTGATGACATCCTCATGTATCATCATTTTGTATCATTTTTTCCTCCATATAGATCAAGACGCAAACAGCATAATCCTTAAAAGAATTTAGGGGCAGAAGCTAGCCAGAAGGGCAATGATGCTGGAGTAGTTCAATCATTTGCCAAGGTTCACATGGCCATTGGCAGGTATGATCGGGAATTGAAAATTTCATCATTCAGTGTTCTCTTTTCCATAACCCTTCACCTCCCACCAAAAGGAGGTGAATTTGAAAGCACAGAGAAGTAAGCATCACAAAAGTTGCTTTCATTTTAGGCTTCTTCTTTGTTCCAGAGAATAAATAGTAAGCAAATTGAAAACGGTATTTCTTTCAAGGTCAGCACATATTAACTCAAGTAATTCTTGAGAATCCAACAGTTTAGTCTTATTGCATAGAATTGAATTGAATTGGGAAAGTGGGTCTCAAGAGAAATGATGAGTAATTGAGTATGAAGAATTGAACAAATGTTATTAGATCCTGGGTTTTCAAGTATCTTCAACAGCATATACTACAGTTTGGAGTCCGAGTTGATAATGTGAAGTTCTACCCTCCGCTGTCTCACTTCTTATAAATACACTTGGAATCACCTTACTTATTTTTTAAATCAATGTGTAAGAGTTTTGGGGGTAGGATTCCTAGACTAGCAGCAGACTCAGATTAGATAATCTAGATAATGAACAGCTCCCATCTTTCTGTGTGTTTTGCATTTTAGTCTTTATTTGATGCCATCCCAAGGGTTTTGTTTTTGTTTTGTTTTTTTTTTTTTTGGTGTGATCTTCAGGTTTATTTTGTCACCAGATGATCACACCAAAAGAGGTTCTGGAAGATGTCATTGTTCACTGCAGTCTTCTAGGGATTGCATTTTGTGATTTGGAGCTCCTGGGTGGTGCACACAGTTAACACTTGGCTCCTAATCAAAAGTTTGGAGGTTCAAGTCCACCCAGAGGCATCTTAAAAGAAAGACCTGCAGATCTGTTTCCATAAAAGCTACCATTATAAATATTAGTGTTCCATGATGAAAGAAGTTTGGAAATGTTACATTTTTGTTTGTTTTCTAAAACTCCTGTGGAGCACAGTTTTACTCTGACACATGGGGTCACCATCAGTTCGAATCAACTCAGCAACAAGTGGTTACAACATAATCTTCTCAGACTTAAAAAAAATTATTCTGGTAGGTAATTAAAATTAGGACACCTACCCAGGCAGTTTCTGTAAGAGTTTAAAACTGTTGAAGTTCAAGACATTTGATAGTTGTTTCTGATGTATGTTATCAGTGTAAGTAGAGTCATGTATTAAAGCATTTGCTATCTTATTAAGGAAGTCATTTCATCGGGAAGGAGAAAAAAAAACTATTTATTGGGGGTGATTAGCAATTAATGAAAAGCCTGTAATACTTATTATGAATGGAAAATTTATACTGAAGTTGTTGTAAATACCAATTAAATGTCTCTCTTTTTTTTTTTTTTTTTTTTTACTTTGGCTTCTCTTTTCAGATATGAGAACCTTAAGATCCCTTCCTTTTGCTAGAATTCTGATCTTAATAAAGTGTGACCTTTACTAAAAAATGAATAAGTTGCAGAATTATTTTTTGCCTATCCCCAATCCTGACCCCTTCTCATTGAACAAGAATGTGTTTTTACAGGGATTAGTGTTATTCAAGGATGTAACTGTAGACTTCTCCAGGGATGAGTGGCAACAATTGGATCTTGCTCAGAAAAGTTTGTAGAGGGATGTGATGCTAGAAAACTACTTCAGCTTGGTCTCAGTGGGTAAGCACAGCTTTGTTGGGTATAATAGGCTGTATTTAATTGACTGTTATTGTTGTTCTTCTCAATGGAATTTCTGCAATCTGTGGGATTTTTGAGGCATGCAGGATTGTCAAATATTTTAGGACAGCTAAAGTTGTAAAATGGTTTTGTCCTTATTTTAGCCCATGTTTTTAATAATCTTTTTTGGCAATTATGAATATAATTGTTCCTAGTCAGCTTTTTCGAATCCTGGTGTGGCACTGCATAATAATGCACTGGAACACAAGGTCAGTTTGAAATCACAAGGTCAGTGGTTCACACTCAACAGCCACCCCTCAAAAACCCTACACAGGGACACTATGAGCCAGAACTGACTTGATGACACTCGACAACAACAACAGTCAGCTTTTCTGAAAATTAACTGAAATGCTTCATTGTATAGTCTCTGAAACCAACCTGTATTTCCCCCTGCTCATAGGGTATCATATTTCCAAACCACAAGTTATCTTCAACTTTGAGCAAGGAGAAGAACCATATTTGTTGGATGATTGTGAAATCTGGTATCAGAGCTGTCTAGGTAAGTAGGGAGCCAAGAAACAGACAGTGTGACTAAACTGCAGTTGTACTTGTTGTTGTTAGGTGCCATCTAGTTGGTACTGATCCATAGTGACTTTATGCACAACAGACCAAAACACTGCCCGATCCTGGGGCAACCTCACTACTGTTGCCATGCTGGAGTCCATCGATGCTGCAACTTGGCCAATCCTTCTCATTGGAAGTCTTCCGCTTTTTCTCTGACCCTCCACCTTACCAAACATGATATCCTTCTCCAGTGACTGCAGGGATCATTCCTGACAATATGTCCGCAGTATGAGAGACGAAGTTTGGCCATCTTGGCCTCCAAGGAGCACTCTGCCTACACTTCTTCCAAAACAGATCTATTGGTTCTTTTGGCAGCCCATGGCACTTTCAATATTCTCCTCGAACACCATAACTCAAATGCATCAATTCTTCTACAGTCTGCCTTATTCACTGTCCAGCTTTCACATGCATATGAGGTTCTTGAAAATACCATGACTTGTGTCAGGCGCACCTTAGTCCTCAGCTGACATCTTTGCTCTTCAACATTTTTAAAAGGTCTTGTGCAGCAGATTTGCCCAATGCAGTACGTCGTCTGATTTCTTGACTGCTGCTTCCATGAGTGTTGATAGTTGATCCAAGAAGAATGAAGTCCTTGACAACTTCGATCTTTTCTCCATTGATAAGAATGTTGTTCATTGGTCCAGTGGTGAGGATTTTTGTTTTCTTGACATTGAGATGCAATCCATACTGAAGGCTGTGCTCTTTGATCTTCATCAATAAATGTTTTAAGTCGTCTTCACTTTCAGCAAGTAAGGTTATATCATCTGCATATCGCAGGTTATTAATGAGTCTTCCACCAATCCTGATGCCACATTTTTCTTCATAGAACCCAGCATCTCAGATTATTTGCTCAGCATACAGGTTGAATAAGTATGGTGAAAGAATACAACCTTGTCGCACACCTTTCTTAATTTTAAACCATTCAATGTTCCCAAGTTCTGTTCAAACAATGGCTTCTTGGTCCAGGTACAGATTCCTCATGAGCACAATTAAGTGTTTTGGAAAACTCATACTTCGCAATGTTGTCCATAGATTGTCATGATCCACACAATTAAAAGCTTTTGCGTAGTCAATAAAGTGCAGGTAAACATCTTTCTGCTATTCTCTGCTTTCAGCCAAGATCCATCAGACATCAGCAATGGATATCCCTCATTCCATGGCCTCTTCTGAATCCAGCTTGAACCTTTGGAAGTTCTCTGTCAATGTATGCTTGCAGCCGTTTCTGTATTATCTTTAGAAAAGACTTTACTCACATGGGATATCAAAGATATTGTCCTATGATTTACACATTCCATTGGGTCACCTCTCTTTGGAATGGGCACAGATACGAATCTCTTCCAATCAGTTGTCTTCCAAATTTCTTGGCAGAGATGAGTGAGTACCTCCTGTGCCGCCTCACTTTCAAGAAAGATTTCAATTTTTATTCCATCAATTCCTGGTGCCTTGTTCTTTGCCAATTCTTTCAATGCACCTTGGACTTCCTCCTTCAGTATCATTGGCTCTTGATCATATGAGAGACTAATAACATTGAGGTGCTATTAAGATAACTTTTCTTCTGCATTCTAAACTTTTAGAACTGCTAGAATAAAGTTGATATTGGTTCCTCAGATCCCTATTTCATGACTCTTTTCATATCAGTTGTCTGCTTCTTTGCTTGGCATTTTTAACAGGGCATGTCTACAATTACTGGTAGTTTGGATCATTTCCCACCTTACATCATGTGTTATTGTTGTTGTTAAGTGCCATCAAGTCAATTCCAATCCATAATGAGAGTATAGGGTTTGCAAGGAGAAGCTGGTGAGCCTGAACCCTTGACCTTGCAGTTCAAACCAACTTTGCAGTCCAGAACATTAACCCACAGTGCCACAACCCATCATTTAGGATCTTTTTTTTTTTTTTTCTGCTTTATTTCTCTTTCTCTCTAATATTTTACTCTTTCTACCACTACCAAGGTCTTAGGACCTTTTCTGATACAGTCAGATGTTCATAAATTAGCCTTCTTTCAAAAGAAACTAGAATCAGAGGTGGGGCTTGATAGCGGCTAGGGTGGAGGTGCAGTGAAGGTCACCGTCAGCAATAACACAGAATACCAGGCAAAACAGATCCAGGGCAGAGCTCCAAAACTTGGAACCACAGAGATAGGAATATTTTAAAGGTTTGAAGGCTTATAGCTTGTGGAGTTTGGAACTGAAGTAAAAAATCGTGTACTTTTGAATCTGCCATGCCCGGCTCGGAGGCCTGAGGCTACATCCTGGGTGAGACCAAGCGGCAAGATGAAACAGGGGGAGCAGAAACGCCACAGAAAAATGCCGTGGGAGCCTTGGGACAAAGGTGGACAATATACTTTGTCAGTTTTGCTTTGTTCTGATTTTCTTTGGTATCTGGTAATTGGCGTGGTCACTGTTTACCCACCTCCATTCTGGTGAATAGAGGGAGAGCCTGATCCAAGTGGCCACCCGCCACCCTCACTACTGGTGGGTTCTTCTGTCACACATGTGCACAGATACTCAGCCCAAGCAGAGGCCCTGAACTTTTAATATATGTTTCCTTTTTGTACTGCTTTTTTATCACGGGAAAGAGTAGAAGTGACCTGAGGGAGGGTAAGAGAGCCAAAGGTTGGATTGGAGCCTGAGGTATAGCGTAACAACCAATACTGGCAACTTGGAATCTCTCAGGCAGCTCTGAAGACAGGAACTTAGGACATTAAAGCCATACTCATATTAAGCTATAGATTTTTTTTTTTCCTTCTTTCTTATCTCCCTCCTCTCCCTTTCCTGTGATTAGAGACTGCAGTATTCAGTCTTCATTATGTTGGTGCTTTTTTTTTTTTTTTTTTTTCCAATTTATTCTTATTTTTTTAAAATAATTGACTCAAGCATCTCCCTACGGGTGTTGTTTTGCTGCGCTACAAAACATCATAAGGAGAGTTCTGTTTACTGAGAACCAACAAGAACAGACAACAACCAGAGATTGACATACGTGGCAGGAGCTCCCTGAATTAAGTCAACAAAAAGAAGCGTTGAGAACAGAACAAAACTATAAGAACAAACTCAGAGAATCTGGGAGGTCAGTCTATGATCAAAACAAATACAATGTAAAAAAAGGTAAACACGTAGGAACAGAGATCCAGATAGTGAGAAGGGAAGGTCGATTACAGGATAAAATAGACTGCAGTAAATGGAGAGAAAAGTTAATGGACTATGAGGCAACCTCAAAGAAACTTAACACTTCACAACATAGCAAGAGAATGAAAATCCAAGAAGAACATGAAAATATTAAAACTATGAGGAAACTCACAATACAGAACAAATAAGCATGAACTCAACAAAGGAAGACAAACAAAACAAAGAAGAAGCAACACCACAAAAAAAATAATAAAATAATGGCAGCAATTAATCAATAACTATCGACAATTACACTGAATGTAAATGGATTAAATGCACCTGTTAAGACACAGAGGGTGGCAGAATGGATAAGAAAACAAGATCCTTCAATATGCTGTCTGCAAGAGACATATCTCACACACAGAGACAAAAACATATTAAAAGTCAAAGGATGGAAACAAATATACCAAGCCAATTGCAAAAGAGGAGTGGCAGAACTAATCTCTGATAAAATACACTTTAAGGCAAAAGCCAACATAATGATAAAGATGGACATTATCTCATGATTAAAGGGACAATTGAACAAGATGAAATAACCATAATAAATATATATGCTCCCAATGAAAGAACTCCAAAATATATAAAACAAACTCTAATAGATTTGAAAAAAGAAATAGATGAATCTACAATAATAGTGGGTGATTTTAATACACTGCTTTCAAAAATGGATAGAACAAGCAGAAAGAAACTTGACAAAAACACAGAAGAACTAAACAACACAATCAGCCAACTGGACCTCATAGATGTGTGCAGAGCATTCAGCCCAGTGCACATGGAACATTCTCCAGAATAGACCATGTCATTGGGCACAAAACAAATCTCCATAAATTTACAAATATGAAAATACTACAAAGCATCTTCTCAGACCACAATGCTATCAAATTCGATATCAACAATAGGAAGACCAAGGAAACCAAGTCAAATACATGGAAACTGAATAACACCCTGCTGAAAAGTGACAGGGTAGTAGAAGAAATTAAACGTGAATTCACACAGTTTATAGAAATAAATGAGAACGAAAACGCAAATGCCAAAATCTATGGGACACAGTGAAAGCAGTGCTGAGAGAACAATTTATTGCAATAAATGCACACATCCAAAAAGAAGAAAAAAACCAAGAGTAGCACATTTACACAGCACCTACAACAATTATAAACAGACCAACAGAGTAAACCCACAACAACCAAAAGAAAAGAAATAATAAAGATTAGAGCAGAAATAAATGAGATAGAAAACAGAAAAACTATAGAAACAATCAACAGGACAAGAAGCTGGTT